ACACAACATTAACTTAAATCTTTAAACAATATAAATTCAAATAATAATCAAACCAATATAAAATAAAAATTCACATTTACATAATATCAAATAAAACAATATTGTATCAAACAATGTAATAATACTGGAGATTAATAGAGATTACTAGCAGGCAGAGCTGCCAACTCTCACGCATTGACCGTGAGACTCACGCAATTGACCCTTTTCACACGCTCTCACACATCCATTTTCTCACGCAGAGAAAAATCGGTGGACAAAGAGGACACTGACACCGACAGACAAGGTTACTTTTGATATGGAACAAATCCACAGCTGTCAGATTCTGTCAATATTTTTACGAGATTCACACAATAAATAACGTTTTGGCTCTTTGAAATGTGACAGATCGCTGTAGCGCGTCAGTTCAAAAGGCACGTGATACAGCAGCCTACAAATACAAATCCACTCCTTCTTAGCTACGCAGCGTTGAGTGAACCTATGAAAGAGAACATCTCTGGTTACTGGTGTAACCTATGTTCTCTCAATAGGGAACGAGACGCTGCCAAGCTCCTTGCGCTGCCGACCAGCTTCCTTTTTCGGCAAATAAATCTAAGGAGCAGATGGCGCGCGCGCGCCAACATAATATGACGACGTAAGTGCGTCGAGGCGGCGCCCGCGCCATCAGCCAATGAATTGGCTTGATTCTATATGGATTCAGACTATCGGCACACCCAGAGGGCGTTCTGACGCGTAATTTTACACGTGAAATGCAGCCAAACCTTGCGAGCAAGAGCGCGCATGCGAGACAGAAGAGACTGTGCGTGTGTGTGTGTGTGTGTGTGCGCGCGTGTGTGCCTAATTAAGTCAGGCACCGAAATCAGGCACCGAAATTGTCGTTCTTATTCGGTCTGGTTACTACCGTTTACGTCGGAACCGGTTTCCTATTGGCACCGAGTTTCGGTACCCAACCCTATTCATGAGCCTCTCTTCTGATTGGCCTGTTGTTTTCTGAGTGACGCACGCCCAGGCCAACCACAGGTAACTAAAGTAATGTATGCTGTAGCCTGATATGGCTTTGTGATGCTCATAAGTAAGGTAAATAAACACCTGTAATGATGAACATTACTGAGGAAAATGTTATCCAGCCATATATGTTCGAGCCGGACTCAGACCCTGAATCGGTAACGACAGGAGACAACCAACCACCTCCTCAAATGCGCTTTCAGAATGTTAAGAGTATTGCGTCATTGTAAGAGTATTATAATTACCATTACATCAATGCTGTACGCAGATTCAACGTTAACGCTAATTGAAACAGTCTGTAAACAAACTTAAATTCGATGTAAACCTCCAAAATATGTACGTTGATAGCTAGTTATACACTGATTTTGAAACACTTAACTGCTTTATAATATGTAACGAAAGCAGACACTGAAAGCAGTAAGCTACGTAACTGTCGTAACGTGCTTTCCTACTGATACAGTAAATTGACGTGTGTAGCGGGACCTTAAGAGGAGAAAACTACCTCTAGATATGCACGACTACCCCACCCTGTTTGACCAGGGAAATATTAATACTGGTGAATTTAACCACCTACAAGGGACACACAGGAGCGTGGTTTTTTTTAAAGGAGGGCCGGAGGCGTGGATACAAACAAATAAAAAAGCTTTATTTTAGTAGTCAACAACAATCTTAAAAGACAACATTAAAATACTAGGTCAACTTTCATCCTTCAACATTCATGACTTTTAAAGGAACCAAAAAGGAGGCAGAGGCTTAACAATGGCAGGTACTCTATTTTAGTGAGCACAAGGCTCCTATAATCACTCTTATCACCCTGTGCACAGATATCAACACACGCACTCCAATAAGGTTAACCATGGACGCACAGCACTCAGTGACAAATCCTCCACCACCGCACGTGAGGGCCTACTAGCGGCCTGCCCTGAAGCCACGGATCCTATAACGAAAGCAAATTTACCACACTGATACATTTTTTCTATGTACATTTTTGAAATGCACTTTCTATAATTGAATTCTATAATTGAATTGAATTGATCTCAGCATTCATCAAGGACACTTAATAATTACAAAAAAACAATAAACATTTACATTAATAAACCAAATAAATCATGAAACAATACTACAATAATGGGGTTCACAATTGGTACCAAAGCTGGGTGTATGTTCACCTCACTGTCCCTCTAACAACACCCGTAAAGCAAAACAAAGATATAGCAACAAAAAAAAAACACTACAAGAAACTTCATAAAACAAGTCAAATGACATATCAATTCTCTAATTGCACCGCGAGGATCGAGGAGTGATGAGCTTCCAGAGGAGTTATGAGCAAGGATACACAGGTGTATCCTTTACGGAAGTGTTTTATCGACTAAACGTGACGCACATATCACATACCCTTCACATCTGTCACAATAATTTTAATTTATACTTTACCTTTGCAGTTTATATAAACCACACATCTCAAATATTTCAACAGGGTATCTTGCTTTATTATTGTTTATTATGAATTTCTTAAATAACCAAACTAATACAACATAAGGGCAGATCCTTTGAGCGCAGCTGATAACACTATGAAGTGACGCTCCAGTGATCAAGTATTCCAATGTATAAAAAAAATGCTTTCATTCGATTCCTCCGTCCTCATTTTCTTTCCTTGCAGCCTTCCCTCGCATCCGACAGCGGGTGGAGCTGAAACATTAGGAAAGTAAGTGAGGAAAGGAAACGAGGATGCACAAATAAGAATTGAGAAGCACCCATGGTCACACTTCCTGGTTCTGGTAAGAACTCGAGCTGCTGCATTTTGGACCAGCTGTAGTTTATTGATTAAGCGTGCAGGGCAACCACCCATAATAGCATTACAATAATCTAGTCTTGATGTCATGAACGCATTAACTAATTGTTTCCGCATTTGTCATTGAGAGCATATGACGTAATTTAGATATATTTTTAAGATGGAAAAATGGGGTTTTACAGATACTATTCACGTGACTTTCAAATGAAAGATTGCTATCAAAGAGCACACCCAGGTTCCTAACTGACGACGAAGACTTAACAGAGCAGCCATCAAGTGTTAGACAGTATTCTAGGTTATTACGCGAGGACGTTTTTTGTCCAATAATTAGAATCTCTGTTTTTTCAGAATTTAGTAGTAGGAAATTATCCAGTTACTTTACTTGAAGGGGTGTGCATAAGACTAACATGACACCTTCATAATCATGACATTACATATGTCATGAATATGAAGTAGGTTTTATGCATGTTTATGACAACTGTTATTAAGTGTCTTTCGCTCAATAATGACATTTTGAATGCAAATATGACATTGTTTAAGATATCTTTGTTATGACATCTTGACAAAAACCATAACATCATAACTTGTCAATGTCTTTGTCCCTTCATTTGCTTTATAATAAATTTTTTGTTGTTTGTTTTTAAATCGAGATCGAGCATTTTCAGTCGTGGGCCCAAGGCTGTGGAATGATTTGCCTGTGCATGTCAAATTGGCCCCCAGCCTTCACATTTTTAAATTACGACTTAAAACTCTTTTTTTTATTCATTGGCTTTTAAACCTGCTTGAGAGTTGTATTCTGCATTTTTATTTTCTTGTCTGTCAAAAAAAAGCATAACAAAAAAAAAGTTTTGCGTTCACATCGAACTCGAATTTAGCATCTGGAGCGACTGATTTCCATGTTAAGTCAATGTAAAGACGCGTTGATGCGCGTCTGGAGGTCCTGCGGCGCGATAGACGCGATTTCGCCTCGTTCATGCGAAATAGGCAAATTGAGCGTCTTGCGCGAGTGATTTTATTTGGTGCTTTTTGTGCAATAATGCATTGAAAGCGAATTCGCGTCTGATGCCCGAGTTGAAAAATCTGAACTTTGGCGTCTGTTCACGCCGGATTAACCAATCAGGAGCCTGCTTGCTGCTGTCACTTGGTGAAGTGACGTGATAAACGGGGCAGGCACACCCGGAGTCACTCATTCAATAATAACTCTAACTTATTTTATATGTTTGGCCTCAATACATTATTTCGTAATATTACTAATGCCTGGTGTGGTTCTACTGCACAACAAAGCAAATATTTTATCACATAAAAACTTGATTTCAATATATATGAGACTTAATATATACTATTTATTCCATTTCTAAATCTAGATTATATGAAACATTATCATTCTAATGTAAAGACAACCAATATTCTTTAGTGTATAAGAACATAGTTCGTGTATGGACAGTGTTGTGTGAGAAAAAAAAAATCACAGGACAAGTTTATTTACTTTTGGAGGCTGGGTCCATTTATCATCAAAACAAAAATAAATTACAGATTATTTTGCAGTAATTACCAGAAGAAAGAAATGGCACAGACCTACAGTATAGAATTATTCAGGACATCAAAGAAGGAATGAAATTGTTCAGCTATGTTTAACTATAAATGTGACACGGAAAAATTGCAGTCATACATTTCTGAATGAGATGAAGAAAAACTCCAAATATGGGATTGTTTACCATGTTATATTAATAATAGGACTACTAATAATGTATTATTTTATCATTTTACCTTATATACTAACGTGGAAAACCTGCCATTTGAAAAAGTTAGTGACTCAGGGTCTAAACTTAATAAATGTGCATGTTGTGGTGGACCTGGCCTTGAATGTGGGTCTATTTCGCTTCAAATACTCGCTTTATACACCCGTCCAAAATTTTAGATTCAAAATTTTAAAGCGTCCAACTAGACGCGATAGAAGCGACTTGTGACGCTCAGTTCGCGTTCGGTGTGAACGCAGCATAACTCATGTGTTTATAATCTGTCCGAAATCATGTCAATGTCCAGCACTTTGGTCAACCTTGGTTGTTTTAAATGTGCTTTACAAATAAAGATGGATTGGATTGGATATCCTGTTGAAGATCATATTAGAAATGTCTTAGGAACAGATGCAGAGATCATTTTCTCTTGACATGATAATCACACTCTTCATGTCTGTTGATTTCCACAGTCACTTTCACCAACATTGTTCCCAGGACCAGGAACGACTTCCTACAATGTAAGTAACTAAGAAAAACAGCTCAAACTAAGTGTAAAGACTGAGTGTGTTGATGTTCTTCCTGTAGAAGGAGAAAGAAAACATGATATAAGAGTTTTATAGTTGATCATGTAAATGATTTTCCCTTTCGAAACGTTTACGCATATTGCGTCTTTGCAAGATGCTATGGGGAAAAACTCCTTTTTTTCCAATTTAATGAAGCCTTTTATTCAATAACGCAGTGCTACTGCATAGCCATAACAGTGCAGAGCTCTGGTGAACCTATGGTGAAGCAGCGCATCTGCGTGAGCCAATCGGGCCGCATCTCCCTGCAGCTAGGGGATTCCCTATCAGGTGAGACTCAGAGCATATTCTCATGTCGCTTGCCATGCCCGCCCTCACAAGCCGTGTGCATTGAAGACTAACGCTCTCATTACGAGAGCGTGAGTCTCGCCTCTCTAAAGAAAGCGACTCCCCTCGTTCTCCAAGGTCCCCTTTTCTCAATCATAAGATGAAGAAACAATGGAACCGCATTCGTTGAATGAATGGGACTAAGTGAGCTCACACCAGTTTATTTCCTGCACGTCTCACTCTCTCTGCAGTGAGGGGATTCCCCAGTGCGAGCACAGCGCTGACTTCTCTCAGCCAAAACAGCGCCAACAATGACACTCTCCCCTGTGACTATCAGGTGAGACTCATAGAGCATATTCTCATGTCACTTGCCAGGCCCACCCCCGCAAGACAATCTCACTATGAGAGCGCGAGTCTCACCTAGCTGCGGTCACAGATCGCTTTCTCTAAAGAAAGTGACTCCACCCCTTGTTCTCTCAATCATGAGAAGAATGGATTCCCACAGCGCTAATTATGACATTCTCCCCTGAGACTCATACAGCATGTCTCCCTATAAGACCTGCTTTTCGCCTGCATTTGTTCTAAAAACTCAGCGAGTGTGTTGCTTGCCGGGGCCACGCCAACACAAGCCACGTTCATCAAAGATTAACACACTCGCCTGGAGTGCGTGAGCCTTGCCTCACTGCATTCGCAGACCGCTTGCCCTAAGGAAGCGGCTCTTCCCCTGGTTCTCTACTGTTCTCTCCCTCTCAGAAGCTTAAGATGCAGAAACAATGTAGTCACAGGGCTGAGGGAACGGGGCAAAGTGAGCCCACACCTGCCTATGTCCTTTGCGTGTTACTCTCCCCTCAACACGAGGCGCAGCCTGTAACACTTCAAACAAGATGGAAGCTCCCACTGTGAGAGCGTAAGTCCTCTCGCTGCAGTCCAGCAGCTACCTAGGCACTGTAGCAGAGCCGTTCAGCCAAGCGCAACTCATTTATCTTTATTCTGTAACAGGTGCTGTTCTCCCGCCTCAACGCAAAACGCAGCCTGTAACACTTAAGCTATTGACACTCAACTTGGGCAATGCAGGCCATCCCTGGAGTGTTGAGCTGGATTTTGGGGACAATCAATTGAGCTCCCTCACCATCCCTTTCATAAAGAAAATGGATGCAGCTCTCTCCCCCTGAGACAGAAGGGAATGCGCATCCTGAATTATTCCGATGACTTGCTCATCCTGGCCCAGTCAGAGGCAAAATGGACTTTTCACAGAAATGCCTAGAACTCAGAATCAACCTAGCCAATATCTCACTGTCTCCCAGCCAGAGAATCTCTTTCCTGGGGGCCGTCCTTGACTCAGCCCAAATGCAGGCCTGGCTAACACCCAAGCGTGCTCAGAATATCCAGCAGCTCGTAATGTTGTTCAGACTAGGGGCCTTTTCCCCTCTCAGAACCTTTCAGAAGATGCTAGGCCTGATGGCCTCCGCATCATCAGTACTTCCGCTGGGCTTGCTGCACATGCAACCCCTGCAGTATTCATTGTTCTCCTCTTATAGGCACAACGCAATCTGCACTCTCTGAGAGTGGTGCACCTGCCGGGCAGACTGAACCAGGGAGCTGACATGCTGTCCCAGGTCAACATGGACCTTGCATCCCCAGACAGTTCAAACAATTCCGAGTACCTTCACCAAAGCAGGTCGACCTCTTACCTCCAAAGACAACTTTCACTGCCCAATGTTCTTTACGAAGAGCAGGGATGTGCTGGCCCACGAATGGCCAAGCCTCCCCCTTACACTTTTCCCCGTTCACACCTCTCCCTCGGGTTATCAAACGGACCAGGGAAGACAGATGCATAGTCCTTCTCATGGCCCCTCTCTGCCGGACCCAAACTTGGTTCCCAGAGTTGATTATGCTGCAAACAGCAGCCCCATGGCCAATTCCACTGAAGAAAGACCTCCTTTCCCAGGCGAACAGGACAATCTGGCATCCCCAGCCCAAGCTTTGGGCCCTCCGTGTGTGGCCCCTCAGCGGGACCTTATGGACCTACCAATGAGAGTCCTAAACTATATCTGAGGCTAGAGCCCCTTCCACGAGATGCCCGATTGGTGCTCAGCCCGGAGCCAAGATACTACTTCATATAAAGTACGGCTGGTGAATTCCTTTCTACAAGAGCTACTGGACACGGGTCGCACCCCCTCCACGCTAAAAGTCTATGTAGCGGCCTTAGCAGCATTCCACGCTACTGTGGATGGCCAATCGTTGGGTAGAACCAACCTGACTGTTCACTTCCTAAAAGGAGCAAGGAAGCTCAACCCGCCTCGTCCTCTTACCATACATCTTGGGACCTATCAACAGTCCTTAGGGCACTCGCTTGAGCCATTACAGTCGGTAAAACTAAGGCCACTTTCACTCAAGACCGCACTCCTGCAAGCATTAGCATCGGTCAAGCGAGTGGGTGATTTACAAGCTCTCCGTCAGCGCTTCCTGCCTTGAGTTTGGGCCTAGGGACTCCAAAGTCATCCTCAAGCCAAGGCACGGCTACATCCTGCTGGATAGTGGCTGCCATCGCTTTGATGAGCCTTCAATGCCCCATCAGCATCAGAGCACACTCCACAGTTGGCATGGTCTCTACCTTGGATTTACCCCAATTGGCTCACGCAGATGCGCTGCTTCACTATAGGTTTGTGCAGTTCCCACTGCTCAGCCAAAATGCCCGTGCAGAGCTCTGCACTGTTATGGCTGTGCAGTAGCACTGCGTTATTGAATTAAAGGCTTAAAGAAAATCGTAGATAAAGGAGTTTTCCCCATAGCGTCTAGCAAAGACGGAATATTTGTTCCCGTTATCTCAGGGAACCGATGTTACGTCAGTAAACAAGACGATTTGCACAGGATATCTGGTAATCTGTACTGATACAATGCAGATATACTGAACATGAAGAGTGCAGATACTCTGAAATTTTTTTTATTTAACATGAAAAGTTTGAGGTAATACTTTGAGGTGATAATTTATACAAAGTAGTTTTGACTTGAATCATCATAAATCATCATAAATTCCTTGCCAAGGAAAATCATTTTTACAAAATTAATTTTCTTAAAGAATTTTTCAAATTAAAGAGACAAAATATTTATGAGATGTTAAAATTTTTAATTATTCTGTACATTCAAAAAACAGTTAGTTCAATCACAAATAACTCAATGAAAAACAGAACAATTCAATTCAATATAAAGGGAAACATCCCCACCTAGTTTTGAACATGCACAATTCTACATGAATAAAACAATTAATCCATAAAACAAATAACACATTTTACAAACATACCTCCATAATGAGGAAACAAAACGTGGAAATAAGGGATCCAATGCATAGAGAGTAAATCAGTTCTACATAAAACACAAGATAATGCACAAATTAATTAAAATTGTGCCATGTAATACAAAGTCAAAACAAATAACAAATTTGACGCCAAACACATATGAACAGTTCCCTTAGTAGTTCATCGCAGGAAAAATCCAGAACAAATCAAGTATTTATGTGTTTTATACACTTTTAACTGATAATCCTCCGACTGCTCAAAACGTGCAACTTACCCACAATTGTCGTTAGTTCTACAGTAGGCGGTCCCCATTCCACATGTTAAAGGGGACATATCATGCTTTTAAATCGTTCCTTTTTACATATAAATCATACATTTGTGGTCTACATAAAGCGGAACTGCAATGCTTGGGTCTGAATTCTTCATTATTATAGCTCCACAGGCCCCTTTTCTACCCCTTTTCTGATGTGCGTCTGAGAGCAACTCGTTTTGGTGTGGTCTCTTTAAATGCAAATGAGACACTTCATACCCCGCCCCCTCTCCAGGCTGCAGAGGTGACACTCTGTTCAACTCCACCCCGTTTGGCCATTTTTGTAGTTTGATAGCAGAGATACGATTATCTAGCGGCACAGAAACTTTTTATTCACGCGTTATTAACAAAATGTCAACAACGGAAGACTTGTCCATCAAGCCTTACATGTTCGAGCCAGAGTAGGACCCGGAGCGAGATGAAAATGAAGACGACGAACCTGCAGAACAACGTCTTCATCAGTGTTGGGCAGTAACCCGTTACTGTAACGCAGTTACTTTTGACAGTAACTCATACTGTAACGCATTACATTTTAAATAAATTAACTCCGTTACCGTTACCATATGGTGCGTTGTCCGTTACTTTTTTAAATTAATTAATTTTGGCTGAAGTGTAGCCAACAGCCTAACCTAACCTGTTTACAGCAGCGACGCATTGTAGGATTGGTGGTAGGGTTGCCACCCGTCCCTTAAAATACGGAATTGTCCCGTATTTACAAGTAAAATGATGCGTCCCGTATCAAATCAATAAGATTTGTCCCGTATTTTACATAAGGCCCACACATAGCCTAGTTGGATAAAAACATAAGGATTTACTATACTAATAGCAAATAGCCTATAAAGAAATCAATTTCACAATAATGTTACATTATGATTAGAATCAAATGAATTTTGTCCATTTTCCAAACTTAGAAAATGCACATTTATACGGGATGAATTTTATAGGCCTAAAATATTGTTTTGTAATTCTGTGAATTACACTGCACAAACCAAAGTAATACTACCCACCGGATGAAGAAGGGTTGGCTCTCAGTCTCCACAGAACAAAATATTCATTTTATTTTA